AATGCCGACAGCAGTCCGGCTCCGCCAGTGCTCGCGGTCACAGCCTGAGATAGATCATGAAATGAGGAATACAATGATGTATCATTTTTTCAGCAACACTAGTTACTTCAAAGTTTCATGAGAAGTTAAAATTAATAGTTACTGGAGAAAAAAAATTGGAAGTGGGGATGTCCCTCACCCCCCAAGTTGATCCACGCCTGATAACAGTAAAGGTAATAGACTTACACGAATCAGACTCACACGGTTTCAGACTTACACGAATAGGGTTCAGTGTGTTGTGGCAGAAACAAGCCAGCATTTTAAAACATGGGAAAGGAATGAATGATTAAAGATTTGTTTTATAATATCTCAATAAATTCGTGAAATAACAGATAGGTTAGACATTTTTACTAATTATTTCTGAGAAGATTTTCTTCCTTTACTAAAAATGTGTTTAAATGCTGGATTGTTTCTATAAAATTACCAATCAAATTTAAAAATGATATTTATTATTTTTCTTACGCTATCAAATTGTTAGCATTCTCTGAAATGATCGATATTTTGGAATTTCAGTTGAAGACAAATTAAATTCATATGAATCAATAAATGGAAAAAATCTGTCGTTCTCGTACTGATCGCTAACATTGATATTTCTTTCTGTGACCTCTGCGTCAAGACCATGGATTGCTGTAAGTATGCCTCTTGATCCTCACTGCCACCCCTCCCAGTCTCCCTCTCCACGCAAGTCTTGACGTCGCGAAAACCACCATCCCCGAAGGCGACAGTTGCAAGTGCTGATACAGGAAATAGTGTCCGTTTAATTCAAATTCACATGTCAGAAAGTCTAATTTTATACTCAAATTAGTATAAAAAAACTAACATATTGTATTCTACTTTTCATGCTCTATCCTTTGCTGGTAAGAAATATATATAGTTATATTTAAAAAACTCAAGATTATTAAATTTCTTGAAAACTAAAAATATTATAGACAATTTTTCGACGTCATGTTACTTTCTTCCATGATTCTGCATTGTTTAGTGAAAATTAGTTTCATAAAAACATTGTTTAGTGCATTTCAATACAGAGACCCGTTTAAAAGTTCGAGGGTGGTCCATAGTTGGTGGACACCTTTATATGTAAATTGGATGCTAATTTCATTTTGATCCTACTTTAAGCGCAGTGGTAGTGGTAATGGGAACATTTTACTGAGCTTAAGATCGGACCGCAAGTCAATTTGTGTTGAATGTTGCTGCCGTGTGGTTGCCCTTGAAAACATGCAAATTCTTGAGTTTAATATATATAGTTAATCAGAGGTTGAGTTGGCATCACCAAAAATAAGAGAAAAAGTGAAAATTGTACCTCGGAATCATTGTCGCAAATTGTGTACTCTCTTGCAGGCGGATTGGTAAAACAAAGCCACCTGTCGCAGGGTAGGGAAGCTGTCCGATTGGTGGCCTTGGCTGAATCCTAGATGTCAACTAATACGAAACGATTCAGTGTGAAAGTTTAACTTACAAAAGCTACCATTAGGCCTAGAAAAAGTACTGGATGCCCCCTGATGTAATACACTCGTGTGAAGTTTACGATACTCGCTCGTATCACAATAACTCGTGTATTAATACCTATCATTGCATCGTCGTTTCATGATGTATTATTATTATTTTAATTTTTCGTAAAACTACATTATTAAATTAACATTAAATAAAATTCATAAAATGATTTTACAGTGATAGGAGTTATCAAGAAATTCTCATGACTCATAAAATCAACAATATTTAAAAACTGCACGAGTATTTTAGTGTTACATAGGATTTTGGAAATGTGTATTACGTTGAATAAAGAATTCAATAATTTACATATAAATTTTTACAAAAATGCGGCATGAAGTTTCGAATTGTTGGCTTCCTCTTCAGCGTTCACTTTTTAATTGTTTGAGTTATTGTAATCGACACTTTTGCACTGACTTTATTCAAAAGGTTGCAACACAGAAAAATCAGTGAGAATAATATTATGGTCAACTTTACTATCTATTTTTACAAATGAAACTTGAAACTTTAAACTTACGATTTGCTTTCTCCTTAAAATTACTCATTCAATTAAACCATTTGTACATACCTTTCTTGAGTTTCAGAGTTTTCCTCCACAACGCGGAAAATATTCCATCCGTCCAGTCGTTGGTAGCCACATCCAGCCTCCCAAACATCTGCGACGCTGTGATGGCCTTCGGGTTCATGCGCATCTCTCTGCGAGTGAAAGAGGGCGCGGTTGCTCGACATTATAATCGAAAGTCCTCTTAGAAAGTGATATCGCCTTCGCGAGAATATACAAATGATGCTATTAATTTCATGAGGGACAAAAATATTAAAGTGTAGAATAATGAATACAAAAGTTCTAAAATAAGCAGATTGTCGTACAGGGATAGGGATAATAGGAATAAAGCTCTGTTAGGGATAATTGGAAGAAGAAAATAAAGTAGTTGTATAAGATTTATAAACCATAGAAGTTGTAAAACAATTTTACACTTGTTAAATAAATAAATTCAGCCAATTCATTTTTAGTGCAGCATTTGTTTATGATTTGGTATTTTTAAATTAATTATTTCATGGAAAAATATTGAAAGAAAACTTTTTTTTGCCACGGGTAATGAAGGAGTTTAAGTAGAGCTAGTTTGTAACTTGGTAGATAGAATACAGGGGAGTGCGAATGTGCAGGATGCGCAAATTATGATAGATTTCTGAGTTGGACAAATTTGAATTGAGAAAGAAACTTTTTCGGAGAATATGTACGACACCCAAATTTATATAAAATCCACGAAACTGGGAAATAAATATTTAAAATGTTGTATGCGTAACACTTAATAAAGTTTTCGCCTTATGAAAAGTCGTGTACGGTGGGATGAGATGTTTCACTACAGAACCCATGTATGGATCAAATATGGAGAAGCAATATTATTTTTAAGGATTTTGTGAGAAATGATATGAGAGGGCACGAATTTTGATGACGTGTCATCTATTCGTTGGTACGTTTTAGACGTAGCTAACTTTTAAATTAATGTATATAAAGATATAGCGCTGAAAGAAATGTATAGTTATGGGGTTATTTTTTGTCATTATTAAATTTTTAGGTAATATTTTCGAGCTTTGCATATTGCCATTTTTATTCATTTTGTTTCCTTTTCGGGTTTTTTGTTAGTGAATGGTTTATGAATTTACATAAACATGGTTCATGATGAAATTTACTACTGCAGTGGACTCTGTTTTCGAACTTTCAAAATAACACGGGTCATTCGATAACTTCTTCGAACTTTCGAAATTGCCGGTGGGAAGATCGGAGCTAAGGATTGCATTTCCTTCTAAAACAAAGACTGTATTAAATATAATTTTATACGAACCACCTTTATTTAAAATTGTGAAATTCATTAAACAAATAAACATTATCATACAAATTTTTGAGTATTTAAAAGATAATTTTCCTTTCATTTTTAAGTCATGTTGTAGGTCACTTCTTTCTTCTTTTAAACATTTTATACATCATTTTTAAAGAATTTTTAAGTTATCAGAATCCGAGCCCTGATTATAAGTAACCTTAGACATTAAATCAATTAATATTTTGTTCTAAGAATTGGATATATACTATTTTCATTAATAACGTATGATCATTATATTTTTCAAATATTTGAAATAAAACATGTCATATTTAAGTACATGCCACACATAAGTTATTCATATTTAATAATCAATTCAGTAAAATTATTATATTTTGCGGACTGAAAAAAACGAGTAGTTTTTCTACATAATTAGCCATTTTTCTTCTTTTACTGACTTTAATGGTATTAAAATTAGCGTTAACAAACAAAAAAATTAGCCTGGTTACCGCGACTGTGAATATAAAACATCTGGTGTATCATAAATATTTCACTTCTTGAGTTGCAAGTTCTTCATAATTTTTATTTTCTTGTTACTTTTGTGAACAAAAACATTTATCTCCGTAAAATGCATTCACGTTGTTTGCATTAGAAAGAGAGTAAGAACTTAGATAGCTCTATTCTGCTGAAAATCATCTGTTAACTGGGTAAGAATCGTCTGCTAATTGGGAAAATGTAGAACACGTCCGACACTTATCCATTCCAGGGAAACGCAGTTTACTACTGTTCAATACAATACAATGCAGGCCATGTCATGTGTCATGTCATGTGTCATGTCATGTGTCATGTCATGTGTCATGTCATCTGTCATGTCATCTGTCATGTCATGTGTCATGTCATGTGTCATGTCATGTGTCATGTCATGTGTCATGTCATGTGTCATGACATGTGTCATGTCATGTGTCATGTCATGTGTCATGTCATGTCAGTTCATGTCAGTTCATGTCCGTTCATGTCCGTTCATGTCCGTTCATGTCAGTTCATGTCAGTTCATGTCAGGTCACGTCAGGCCATGTCAGGTCATGTCAGATCATGTCAGGCCATGTCAGGTCATGTCAGATCATGTCAGATCATGACATGTCAGGTCAGCTGAATGCAGTTCAGAGCAGATCAGTGCCTTTCACTACAATGTGTCGTTCGGCAGTGCGGTGTGCGGTGTGCGGTGTGCGGTGTGCGGTGTGCGGTGTGCGGTGTGCGGTGTGCGGTGCGGTGCGGTGCAAGAGCCCACCTGTGGAAGTCGCCGCAGACCGTGAGCGCGCGCATGAGCGTGTGGATGCACTTGGTCTTGCCGGCGCCCGCGGGCCCCAGCGTCATGATGCCGTGCCGCACGCGCTGCGTCTCGTACAGCTAAAGGATTCAGGCAAACGGTAACCAATGCACACTCAACGATTTCAATTGCAAATAAGAAAATAATATTGAGAATTATGTACATCAATAAATTAGGATCAAGAACTAAGAGAAATGAATAAAATACGGGATATGTTATTTTGGGTGAAAAATATACCAACGTTTTCCTAATATTAACAAGAATTAATTTCTTTACCCTTGTGGTCTCAGATGCATAGTTTTCGGAGGAAAGTTATTTTTTGGTAATTTTCCTTTTTCGACGTCGCCTGTCTGGACCGCCTTTCGGTCATTTGTATTGTTTGAGATCAGCGAGTGTTCTGTAATTAAGACAGCCAGCTGGAAGGGTTGGCAAGTTTTCCCGTCTTGATGAGTGTTTTGATCAGTGCCAATTTTTGATGGTTTAAGATTTTTCTGACGAAGCTTGGTTTCATCTCAATGGCTACGTTAATAGTCAAAATAAAAGGTTTTGGAGTACAGACACTTTGTTCACCAAAGTTCTCTCCTACACGTCGTAAACGTAGGTTTATGATGCACTATCGGGGTTAAGAAAATAATTGGTCCCTTATTTTTTATGGAAATGATAAACTTGAGCCGTTATGTGCTTCATGTCCTGTAGTCTTTGTTTCAAATGTTGACGAATGAAGAGAGTAATTATGGTCGATTTCAACGGGAATGCGCAACCGCACACACTACTTGAGTTTACTCAAGAACTTTAGATGTAGTTTATGTGAACAACTGCAGCATTTACTATAATGTGAATACAATTTAAACACTCTGGTAGCGAATAGCCCCCTTGCCTCTTCGACAGTTCGACTGGTCGCCCTCTCACTTTCCGCGGCATCTGTGGCCTCGTTCGTCAAGGCAAAATCTCCGTGCGACGTTTATACAATGGCCGCACTGTAGGTGGGTGAAATTGGCTCACCTGGATGAGCTTGAGCACCCAGGGCGGGTGGAATATGAGTCCCTTCTCCTCCACCACGTCCTGAATGGCCTGCTCGAGCTGAGGGTAGCTAGTCTTCTCCAGCGCCTGGTTGGGGAACAGGTCGGCAACTAGAGAGATAAACAGCGGCTCGTCCTCGTCTGCAAGACAAGGAACAAACAACCACATCACATATGATGGAGTAATCATCATCTAAAATTAAAGTATCTGTTTGAAAACCCCTAACCCTTGAGTTCATTCTGATCGATCGGATGATATCCCCCATCGATGATGTCCCGATGTGTGGGAGCAATTTTCATTTTCACAAGTAACTCAGGTTTACCAATTAAATTATAAATTAAATAATATGTAGCACTTTAGTTATAGAGAGAGAAAGAGAAAGAGAGAGAGAAAGAGAGAAAGAAAGAGAGAGAAAGAAAGAGAGAGAAAGAAAGAGAGAAAGAAAGAGAGAGAAAAAGAAAGAGAGAGAGAAAGGAAGAGAGAGAGAAAGGAAGAGAGAGAGAAAGGAAGAGAGAGAGAAAGAAAGAGAGAGAGTGAGAGAAAGAGACAGACAGAAAATGATAGATATGAATGAAGACAGGAATAGAAAAGGAGGGAAAGTTGAGAATGTTTAGAACGAAGGAAAACAAAAAGGAAAGGAAATGACTTCGATCGGCAGTTTATTTCAAATAACAAAGTAGGAAAAAGGAAAGTAGAGAAACAGGCGGAACGAGAAAAGGGAGATGAACGTGTTCGTGTTCGATGTTCCGTAGCAACAAAGAGAAATGCGCATCCAGGTTGAGAGGGAGACGTTGCTCACCTATGAGCTTGGAGAGGTTCATGTCGCGCAGCACGCGCATCACGATGGTGCTCTCCGAGTCGCGCGTCGCCACGCGCTTCGCCGCGCCCAGCGTGCGCAGCACCGACAGGATGTTGCGCAGCCCGAAGTCGTAGTGCACCTGCGCAGCACACCCACATTTGCACGCACGGCGGACGGCGCACAGCATCCACTCATGTCACTGCACTTCCCGTGACTGGGGGTTCGGGTTCCGACGGTGGCATGGTTTGCGACTACATTGCTGGGTCAAATTCAGCCGCTGTCTAGCGGTTGGTTACTCTAAACGATAGTTTTCCGTGGCTTCTCCGATATATATCTGGCGATTGACTGAGCAAAAACCTATCAATGCGGCCATGCACCGACCACTATCTTTGCTTCTCCTTTCTTGCCATCCTCACCGCTTAAACACACTTACCCTTACATTTACTACACTACTACACATTTCTGGAACATCAGAGCTTGCCTCGGCTGTGCCACTACTCACTGGTGGAAGATACCTGGATGAGTAAAATCTCAAGGCGACGTATAGGTTGGAGATCTCACCATCGAGTTGGGGAACAACACCGGCCAATCCCGAGGCAAAAAAGCACATACTACATGTACGGGATTAATGACCATAACAATTAGCGCGCACAAAAACATAAATAAATTAATCAAGGAACATGTTGAAGACGTCTTCAGACGATGTGCCCCCTAATAAAGTAACGATCCGCTCCAAATTGGCCTTTTTCATTAATTCCACCATTCAAGTTTGGCCAGATTGATCAAATGATATCTCTATTGCAGACAAGTCTATATAGACCTTAGCGTTTTGTGAACAAATGTACAGACGTTTTACTTTACAAAAAACAAAAACAAAACAACAACAGTTATTCGAAATTACAGTCGTTAAAAACCTATATTTCCCTCAAAGTCATGACATCGATAGTTTAGTAACATTACACGACGTCTACAAGGACTATAAAGGTATTTAAAACTGAAGCACAAAATACGCTAATCTATCTTTCCCTCACAGAATTTCCTTCAATTCATTCTGGGGATGAAATTGAAATGGAAACTATAAAATAATCTTCCATATCTTAGCAGCGTTTAGAACATAAGACATTGTGAACAATGAACTAAGAATGAGTGCGAAAATACGAGGCGTATCGAAAAAGTAAGTTTCTTTTGTTAAAAAAAACAACAGAATTATTTTCATGAAAAAACTGAAGGGTTGTACTATAGCGTGGATGGTCAGACATCTATCAATGGAACCGATACAAAAGATCTGCTGTAAGAAAGGCCGTTTGTGGCCTATCCCCTCTACAATCCGGTTCTCGGCCTCAACGATTTTCATCTTTCCTTACATCCCAAGAAATTCATCTCCGATCAGAATTCCACGTATCACAGAGAAGCGGAGTTACAGTTAGCTGGTGCTTATTCTAGGTGGCAGAGTTCTACGTCAGGGATACAATTATTGTTCCAATGATATGATAAATGTCTCAATTCTGGTGGTGAAAATATGGGAAAATTGCGCAAGGTATGCTAAACTTCTCCAAACACGTTTTTCCACGAAACCGTGTTTACTTTTTGTTGACGACCCAGTGAAAATTACTATCCGGATACACTTTGTGCTACAAATATGACAACACGGGGCGTACCTGTTTTGTAAGCTGCTCTTCACAAAGTTTATACAATGTATAGAATTTTCGCGCGAGGGTGATGTTTTCTAGGAAGCCACAGCTGGCGAGTTTCACACGGATAATGATTTGTCTGTCAGGGACCATCATAGCAACTGTGCGGAACTGTATTTTTAAGTTTTCGGGGAGCTCTTTCCTTCCAGCGTAGCCAGGATTCTGTAAAAGAAAAAGTTGTTTAATAGCTGCAATAACTTTGGTTTCTTGGTTGTACGTAATAAAATTATATGAACATGTAAAATAATTTTATTTGTAATCGTAATACTTTTTCGTTTCTTTTTTTTAACGATTATAAAGCGATTTCACTTATCTTGAATAGTTCTCATATTGGATGTAAAATATAAGTTCACATTTAAATTAATAATTCTATCTTTTTTGCATGAATTTTTCATACTCTATATACACATTCAAATTAATTCTTTTAAGTATCTATGTGTAAGAAGTATTTAAGAACTTATTCAATTAACTTATAAACTATCTAGCCTAGGAAAATCCTCGAAAAAACTGACTTGCGCCAAGTTTATTTAGAAACAATGCCAATTCTTACAACTGGATTGTAAGTAGAACTATGCTTTGGTATTAGTTGAGTTAACCACGTGAACTCGTCTTCACGTCAATAACATTCAAAGGGGAATTGGAATATGTCAGCGGTCAGTTTTAACACCAATATAATTAATTCTGACATTTAACACGGCACTTTCAATCACTCACCATCGTAATAAAGATTCCAAATTCCGGGCACATGTCGACGGTGTCTCCATCGGTGAAAACGAACTGTTTTTTCTTTTCCTTTTTAGAAGCAAGCACTACAGCCACTTGCTGGGCGGCCACGGACAGCACGGGAAGCTCTATACGGTTGAACTCGTCGAAGCAGCCCCACGTCCCAGACTGAGCCAGACCTGCGATCCAATAATTGTGCAAGTATTCATTTCGTATATATCAATTCTTTCAATAAAAATAGGTAATGGGAGGTTTTTATGACCATATTGATTCTTTGTGTGCAACATGAGAAATGTACATTGCTATCTATGGATAGTACATTCTTGGGATGACTTACACCAAATTTATTTAAAATTCTGTTCACCAGTTTTATTTACGTTGTTCTAAATGTAGTTACTAAGTTTCTTTAAGCGAGTTCATAACTTTAAGTACATCAACATTATGTTTTGTAATGTTCTTAAGTTTACTTTTTCGGCGCACAAACATTTCTATGCAGTGTAACTGTAACTTTCAACTGCAGTGCAACTGCCCTGCGTGGAAGGGTAAGGGCTCACCTTTGTAGATGCGGCCGAGGCCGCGGAAGTCCATTTGGTCGGAGCAGTTGAAGACGACGACGTACTTGGCCAGAGTCTTGCCCATATCTTTCACCGTCTCCGTTTTGCCTGTGCCAGCTGGCCCGCAAGGTGCGCCGCCCATTGACATGGCCAAAGCCTGAAAAATATCAAATCACGAATCCTTCTTTAGAGTAAATGCTGCGTGTCAAATAAGACATTTTCTTCGATGAAGGAAAGTACGAGTTGAATGATAACTTCGTGGGGTGTGGCACATATTCATATTAAAGACGAATACGTGAAATAATCTTGACCGTATTATGAAAACGATTTCATTGTATTATAAAATCTATGTTCGAACCAGTGGTGGGTAAAATTTCTCCATTATCAGTGCTGTTATATTAACGGAGAGAATCAGAGAGTGATGGAGACAGACACACACACACAAAGGGAGAGAGAGAGAGAGAGAGAGAGAGAGAGAGAGAGGGGGGGCTTGTGTAAGTAAGAGAGAGTAAGACAGAAAGAGACAGAGAATGTGACACAGAGAGAGTGGCAGACAGACAGAGAGAGGCAAGAGACAGAAAAAAGAGAGAAACAGAGAGAGACAGAAAACGATAGTGTCAGAGAAAGACAAACAGAGAGGGACAGAGAGACAAAGGCAGAAATAGGCAGAGACAGAGAAAGAACACAAAGAAACACGGAGATCTTTTCTTTTTCACAAGGATTAAATTCGAAAAAAGGGCAACGCTGGGTATTTTGCTAGTAATTACATAAATTTGAAAAAAATCAAAGTATATGTAATGATCAATGAAATGAATCATAAGAAATAAATAATGAACGTATTACTTACTTAGGTAATATAGACAAATTCACTTATTCATCTTTAATACAGTTCAATGATGTTCGCATTGGTAATACTGTACCTGCGCCAGGGTGATGTAGCACCTGTCGGTGAGCGGGGTGATGACCAGGCGCTCGGTGCAGCCCAGGAACTCGTTCTGGTAAGCGAAGGTGACGTCGGTGATGGCAATGAGCGTCTTGTCCACGTCCTCTTTGAAGTAGAAGCGGCACTGCTTCAGCCACTCGAAGTCCGTCACGTGGCGCACGTTCAGACGGCACTGCGCATGAGCACCAAACGTTTTACATTTCACGAGACTTCACGTGCGAACAAATACGTTTTTAAGGACATTTTTATTTCTTTAATTGGGTTTTTAAAAAATGTGAGATTGTATGTTGACATCCGCAGAACCACGATACACCACTATACGGTTTTTTACGCAATTCTGCCCGTGGTAGGTATCAGCAGTTGACGGTTTCATCTAATTGGGAGCTTGAACGTCATCATAGTGACGTCACTACGATGACGGATAAGCTCCCGATCAATGAAATCGTCAACAGATGATACCTGCCAGGGGCAGAGCTGCGAATGCCGCAGTATACGTGCGCTGCCGTTCTTTCGAGCAGCGCGGAATAGCCCGGACGAACGCTACTATGAGCGCCAGCACTGGCGCCGCCCATCGCCTCGAAGGGCCAGTCAGTGAGCCCCTCCGTTTCAGTGCGATGAGCAAAGCCTACCGCCCAGCTATCCCACCAGCCCCTTCGGGGGTGGGGGAAGGGGGGGCAAGCAGAGTACATCCCTGCGCTGCGGTGCTTTTATAAGCGGAGCGCGGAGGAGACCAAGCATTGTATTTTTGGATTTTGGTAATAAATTGTTTTAATTTGAAGTTGTCAAATCCTCATTTAGTATACAACAGTATGGCAAAAATAAAGAAGAGTGAAAACACGCAAAGCATTTGCAGATACAAAAGTTCGGTATGACGAATTTATTGAACTTGCTTTGAAATTAATATAATCAAAATATATTTTGTATTAGCACACTTTCAAAAACTATTTACTTGTATTCTGCCCTCACAAGGAAAAACGCAGAATCTACACAAAACCAAGTTTGGAGAAAAATGAGTAACTTCGACAAGCTGCCTGAAGGTGAACGTAATAATAAGTAGGTCACTATGTTTAGTGGAGTTGGATTTTCAAATACTATTTTATAAAACTTATAACATTTTTTGTCGTTCTAGCACTAAAAGAAAGCAGTTACTGAGTTTTGGTTAATGATTATTAGCGTCCATTATCTATTACGCTCATTAAAAATGCAGTAGGCTTAAGAGGAATGGTTACTGCATATTACTAAGCAATGCTATTACATTTATTACTTTGAGAGTAAAATGCAGTAATGATGAAACGATACGTACTTATGTTTGAATCACTGGGCAATTAGAGTATTCGGTGCGTGTTCTCGACGGCAGTGGCCGATTTGCTGGTTGAAATTGGGATATGTCCATGTATTGCATTTTTAGGAATGAAACTGACTGAATATATGTTTAGCTTTGGAATAATCGAAACTACCGCACTGAGAAACAACGTAACGGAAAAATACATGCGGACAAGATGCATCAATGAAACTGGAATTGGAGACATTTAGCGCGCGACATGACAAGTTAATGGCTGACCAGGATGTCGAAGATGTCGCGCTGGTGCACGTGGATGGTGATGAGCGTCTCGAACTTGGTGCGCTCGATGCGCGTGAGGTCGCGCGTCGTCTGGTCGATGAGCGTGTTGAGCAGCTCCAGGAACTTGTTGTTGGTGTCCGCCATCGCCTTCTTGTCGGCGCGCGCCTGCATCAGCGCCTGCTCGCCGTCGCGTGTCCAGATCATCTGGATGCCCAGGATGCCCACCTGCGCACGCGCACGCACGCACGAAAAAAAAAATAGAACATGAATGCCGGCGACACAGCGAGTAAGCGAGAAAGGCAAAATCCGAGGAAGGGAAAAAAGCATAGAAAAAAATAAAGCATAAAAAGCGAGGAAAGCAAGCAGGGAAGACAGAAAGAAAAAAGAAAGATAAAAAAGAAAGAAAGAAAGAAAGAAAGAAAGAAAGAAAGAAAGAAAGAAGACGAAAGTAAGAAAGAAGAAAGTAAAAGATAGAAAGTTAAAGAAAGTAAAGAAAGTAAAGAAAAAGAAAAGTAAGAAAGAAAGTAAAGAAAGTTAAGAAAAGAAAGTAAAGAAGAAGAAAGAAAGTAAGAAAGTAAGAAAGTAGAAAGTAAAAGAAGAGAAAGTAAGAAAGTAAGGAAAGAAAGAAAGAAGAAGCAACAGAAAGTAAGAGAAAGTAAAGAAAGAAGAAAGTAAGAAAGTAAAAGAAAGTAAAGAAAGTAAAGATAAGAAAGAAGAGAAGAAAGAAAGTAAGAAAGAAGTAAGAAAGAAGAAAGAAAAAGAAAGATAAGAAAGAAAGAAAGAAAGAAAGAAAGAAAGAAAGAAAGACCAGAAAGAGAGAATTGGGAAGGCAATAGAAGAAAAAAGGGACAGTGGTGATGTTTTTTCCCCCAGCCCAACAATTTTCCGCGTAGTGTGTTAACAACCGAGATTATTGTCCCGTAATTGCAGTGCAATAGAACGGAGAATGGCAAGCGTTCCTCCCCCGCAATCGGATCTGGGCCCACTCAAAACGTCAGATTGCAGGCAATGCCACTTAAATATTTCTCTCAGCGGTGTACCTTTGCTGCCGGACTAGCTCTAATTCCCTGACTTGTCTTTTCGGACATGTGTGGAGGGAGACTGTCAGTGTACCAGTCAGTGCATGTTACGAGGAAGTAATATTTAAATATTATAATACACCTTGAACATTCTGTGCCATTAGAGTATTATTGTTTATATATTATAATAGAAGAAAGAAAGAAAGAAAGAAAGAAAGGAAAGAAAGAAGAAGAAAGAAGAAAGAAAAGAAAGAAAGAAAGAAAGAAAGAAAGAAAGAAAGAAAGAAAGAAAAGAAAGTAAGAAGAAAGAAAGAAAGAAAGAAAGAAAAGAAGAAAGAAGAAAGAAGAAAGAAGAAGAAAAGAAAGAAGAAAGAAAGAAAGAAAAGAAAGCAAGAAAGAAGAAAGAAAGAAAGAAAGAAAGAAAGAACAGAAAGAAAGAAAGAAAGAAAGAAGAAAGACAGAAAGAAAGAAAAAAGAAAAAGAAAGAAGAAGAAAGAAGAAAGGAAAGAAAGAAAGAAAGGAGAAAGAAAGAAAAGAAAGAAGAAAGAAAGAAAGAAAGAAAGAAAGAAAGAAAGAAGAAAGACGAAGGGAATTGGGAGCAATAGAAAGAAAAAAGGGACAGTGAGTGAGTCAGGCAACAATTCCCGGGTGTGTTACAACCGAGAATTAATTGTCCGCGTAAATGCAGTGCAATAGAAAGAGAATGCAGGGTTCCTCCCCGCAATCGATCTGGTGCCATTCAAACGTCAGATTGCAGGCAATCGCACTTTAAATATCTTCCTCAGCGGTGTACCTTTGCTGCCGGGACTAGCTCTAATTCACTGACTTGTCTTTCGACATGTGTGGAGGAGACTGTCAGTGTACCAGTCAGTGATGTACGAGGGAAGTAATATAAATATTATAATACACTTGAACATCTGGTCCATAGAGTATTATGTTTATATAATTTTGCTCACATTAGTAAGGTATGTTCCTTTTGTGTTCCGTTAATTTTATTTTTTTGTATGTATGTGTCTCCATTAAATGCCGCAGTTATTGTGCTATACATAGTTCCGTGTTCAGCCCTGAAGATGGAGAAATAAGACTTCGAAACGTGGGCAAACTAATATAATTGTTTTATTTCTAAACCAAATCTCAAGAACAACGACATGGATTGCACTAATAATGGTCATAAAACACTGCATTTAAATGATCTGTGTTGTAATTCTCAACACTAGTAGGCATAATGTTCACATTCTGGAAGTAAAGGGGGGAAAGATTCAATTTTTTTTATTGATCTTTCTAGTATTGTATTGTATTGTATTGTATTGATCTTGTATTGTTGATCTTGACCTCGTATTGCATATATGCATGTATGGACAGTTGTGGGGATAGGTCAATGGAAGTTTGTCTTTTTACTTAGGCAATGTTTCGGCCATTTATTTCGCTTGTGGCTGGGCTATCCGGGACGAGCCGCGTCAATGTCATGGTGGCTAACGTTTCGGCCAGCGTATTGTGGCCTTCTTCAGAGCGTACTGCCAACGCTCGTCCCGGATAGCCCAGCCAACATAAACCCCGGCCGCGGAAGCCTATGCAAAATATTTATTTCGCCTACTCGGGGCTTTAAAAATACAAAATACATACAAAATAGTAAATAGCATCAACAACATGTTATGACGATAATCGTTGACCGAAATGTTTTATTTGCCTTCCCTCACGAATCTCCCTACATAATTCTTATTTTTCTAATTTTGTGCATCTATTGGCGACAATTGCCGCAGTGTCTCCTGGGCCGCATCCTATCGCAACCCAGAACAGCGAATACCTGCGCGGGCATCTTGTCGAGGAAGTTGAGCAGGTGGAAGTTGGGGTCGTTGATCATGGCGTGCGCCTGGCGGATGATGGAGTGCAGCGACTGCTGCGCCGTCTGCAGCAGCGACGTCAGCCACGTCTCCACGCTGCCCTCGGCGCGGACCGCACGCTCCAGCGGGATCACCTCGCCCTCCGACGACACGATGTCCGTCATCTTGTTGTACTCCACGTCGTGGAAGCGCACGTACCTGCGCGGGGAAGACGTTCGCTTTGGAGTGAGGGACAGTGTTGATAGTTTCCGCGTGCGTCAGCTTTTGGAGTTCGTAAAATACGCTATATCCCGGAACGAGAAATCTTTCGTCGATCTACATGTCGGTTTGAAGCTTTTACTCTCCAGGTATCTCATTGAAACAGGGCAAACCTCTGCTTTAAAACCCGCATGGTTTTCTGTCATGTGTGGTATTGTAGTGTGTATGTATGTGTGTGTGTCAAGGGAGATGTGGGAGCAAGGTTTCGTTGTCAGAACGGGTCTAATTTTATGCCCTTTCAAGCTTGCAGAACAAGTGTTGCAGCTAATTTCAGTTTTTCCTTTTGGTTCGCACCTAGAAATTGAAAACGGTATTTTATTATAGGTGTCTCATAATATGTGCTACAAACTTGTGAGACATGTAGGGATGTCCAAATAGTCGTTTTCCGAGAATGTGATCATCCTCTTATTTGTAGGCAAATCTCATACTACTTTGATGCAACGAAAAATCCCGATTTTCAATTCAATTTCCCTTTTTCCCTGGTTCTTCCAGACGTAGTAGCCAATTTCCCGTTTTATTCAGGTTTTCAAGGATTTCAGACTACACTGTGACTACACTGTGTATAATACCAGTATGTTTTACGAATATTTTCTGTAAAAAGTCATTGTAATTTCAATTCATTGCAATATTCATACATCACTATTTCAAAAAAAAAGTCGTTTGGCAAATGAACTCTGAGATAAATGAGTGCAGAATAAATAAATTATGTATCGTAAAATAAATTCTCAGAACAACATACAAATTTTGCGAATAAAATTTGTTATCATTATCATGTTTTGTACGTTGAAAACGTACCGACGCTAGTGGATTCTGAACCTCTTTGTTTCTGGGTTAAATATTTATTATAAATTGAATGAAATGGGGATTTACTATTTTATTCGTAATTCATCAACATATTGAGCAGTCGTGTTTCCGGAGACAATAATTACCGATTACAAATACCTTACCGCGTATTGTCGAAGATGGACAGCAGATGGTTCTGAATGGTGTGGCTGTCGGATGCTTGACCCAGAATCTCAAGCAGTGCTGGATCCGACACGAAGAAGAAGCGTGGGAACATCGTCCTCTTCTTTTCCAAATACCTGGGAAAACACATCATGTAATAACATATCTTACCTATCATATGATTTTACATTTGGAATCACCATAGTTTTTTAAATGACATCTGAAAAAAGGTTTTTAGGTTATATTCAACGACAATAGAAGACAAATAGAACAGTTGTTTTTTATAGAAATGTATTCATCATAAATATAGATAACATGTTACCTTAATTTATGAACACGTCTGTGGAAGAGTTCAATTCATTTCCGAAATTAATGCATGATATTTCATATCATTTATATTTGATAGATGAAAGAAATAAATGAAATATGTTGCTAATAATTTCTGCCAAACATTTATCTAACTTTACTAATGCAATGTGACGTTTATTTTATACACATTTCTTTCACATATCCAATTTATTATTCCGTACCGAACAGTCTCAACATGCAGATTTAATATTTTTGCTTCTATTAGTGTTACCTTAAGTAATGTTTTAAAGGATAAAATTTGGTGTTGTCGAATGCATTGTGAAACACTGTTGTTTGCAAATTTAGTCGGCCGTACGCCTCAAAAGTTTTGTTCTGCAATTCGCGGATATACTCTGACCGAACTCGAAAACGCACTGAAGATACTCTCCTGACATAAAGAAGTGTATTTACAGATTAAGAAGTATTTTACACAGATATACACATTTATGTTATTTTTATATTCATATTTGCGTGTGAGAGGATTATAGGTAAAGTTTAAAATAATACAAACATTTGACTGTCAGTCTTGGTGAATCAAATGGTCTTTCAATATCCCGTCAAATGATATGAACGAAATTCTAGCTCTCCAAACAATAGTATATTCACAGAAACCAGTACACAGAGGGTGCTTTCTGGTTAAGCTCGAGCTGCTTGTGTATTTAGAGTATCTGGGCACGTCTAACATTACGATCATTACTCCCTTTTATATGCGTGCCATAACGGTAGGTGGCGGTGTTCATCCCTACTGGAACGGTTGATCCGGTACCCACCTAAGATTCAAGGCAACACGTTACTCCTGCCGCTAGGATTACCCCACCGGAATTGGCCCGAGCGAGGCACTGCCGCAGCCGGGGCAAGCTCTAAGCTCTCGACTAGACTCGCGGCATGAGTGGTAGTGTAGTTCATGCAAGAGTGATGGTGGGAAAGGGTACAGGAGCAGACAAGAAGGACGAAGGGGAGATCGCCCGCGATCTCCGGCCCGTCTGTTACGGCACGGTCCAGGCATTCGCCTCTAATTGATGGGAAAAATCACAAAAACGAGTGAACGGAGAAGGCAGCCACCAAGTTTCTCCTCCAGACAGTCACTGAATTAGACTACCCCTTTTAATAGAATATATGAAAATCAAATATTACATCACCAAGAATGAAATATACTAATGTTCAAATAATAGCTAAATTCGACTTAGCTATGTAGCCATTATGTATGAATTCGTCGTTATAATGAATGAATTTGACGTAGCTCGAGAACAAAATCCGCCATTGGTGGACATGACTACCAGAATTTTCCGTTCATCACCGCTGTAGCGGCAACGGATGTTACCACTGACGAACTGCTCGTTCACAAGCCACTATTCTTTCTTTGCAAAGCGACTTCCGGCAGAGCTAAAACTACTCAAGAAAGAGCAACTATTATTACCTACTTTTAAATTATCATACTCATTCTCACTCGGAGAGCGACTTCTTGCAGAGCTGGAGCTATTCGTGAAGATGCAGCTATTATTATTATTATTATTATTATTATTATTATTATTATTATTATTGTCTTACATTATTCACAGTATCTACTGGTCGGTATGTCAACCACACACAGGTATGATGACCAGGTGTGGGGTTGCTTTGCTGAAGGTTCAGATGGGCTCTGACAATACGGCATGTATTCAAAAGTACTGTAAAAGTATTATTATCGTTATTATTGTTATTGTTATTATTATCTACCCCAACATTTTGATGCTATTTTCACCCAGATAGCGACGTATGGGAGAGCTGGAGCTATTCGTGACAGTACAACCATTATTAACGTCTCGTACATTCGGATAATGGTTCTTAATCAGCAACATGTAGCAGTGCTGGATAGGAAATTCTCCTGAAGGTGCAATTATCAATATCTACGCGCACATTCGTATGCCTGTCACCCGGAGAGAACTTCTGGCAGAGCTCGAGCTGCTCGTGAAGATGCAACTCTTAATATCTACTCGCAGTTTCGGACGCTCGCTCTCACCCGGAGAGCGACTTCTGGCAGAGCTCGAGCTGCTCGTGCAGGTGCGGCAGCAGCTGGCGCAGCATGTCGTCGCCCACGCAGCACGCCACCACGCCCGGGATTTCGTGTGCGCGCTGCATGATCTTCTGCCAGCTCTTGTCGATCTTGGAGAAGCGCTTCGCCTCCTTCGGTAGCTGCTTGGCGATGTCGCCGCCCACGAACACGGCCTCCAGGTACACCCACATGTTCTGCACCAGCAGCCACCGCTCCAGGATCTCGTTGGTGTTGCCCAGGTCGTGCACCCACTGCTCGATCTGCTTGCGGAACGGCGCGTTGTAGCTAGGAGAAGACGGAATGAAATTATTAAAGATTAATTGTCAGTACATAAATAAATTCCCTTATTACATTTTAATATGTTATTGAGAAAAACAACAAAAAATCTTGAATACGCTACTCGCAATTTACGAGTTTGAGAGCGTATTTATTTATTCTTTGCAGATCTGAAGATGAGTCGAAGAAGTTCCTAGATAGTAAGAAATAATTAATGAGATTGCTTTTTTACTTCTCGTCATTGCAGATGTTCTAGCTCTTGGAGATAACCGAAGTTATGAAAGGACCAGATCAATTGAGGGTTTGGAAATCATGTATTGTAAATATTTCATTGTAAACAAAATGATGTCAAATTTGGATGGTATTACGAAATTAGGGTTTTAAAGATATTTTAATGTTGGAAGAGGTGGACATGAGCAAGCCGAGGACCATGAGGCTGTCCTGCACAGTCGCCTAGGTGATGGCATTGGGATGACGTTGGAATGGTTTTACCAGTCTGTTGACTGAAGTCACCGCAGACATGAGGCATGTCATCCATCTGGCATTAGATAATGAGCTCTGAGGACGGGTGGGAGAGGTTACCCATTGGTTGGACGTGACCGAACTGAGAATCATGAAGTTGTCCTTCAGTCGTCAGGATCACGATCTTCGAGGACGGGTTGGGAACGTTACCCACCGGTTGGACATGAGCGAGCCGAGGATCATGAGGCTGTCCTCCAGCTGGCCGATGGTCTCCGCCGTGGTGTCTCCGCGAAGCAGAAGTTCCCCGCGGTTGTTGAAAGTCTGGAAGGTGAGCTCGTGCACCGTCCACTCGTTCGTCACTTGTCGCAGCTTCGCCTCGATATCTTTCTCCTTCATCGCGGAGATGCAGATGTCCTGTAACGAGCACAGCGCTTGCTCGCAAACTGATCTTTCGCATTGCACTCATTCACTTACGAAACCTCCATTACATTTACAGACGACTTCAAAGTTGAGGGGCGTGAAACGATGCTAACATTCCATCAGCAACCTTCAAAGGAGCTGCCGAATGCAAGTAAAGTTTAACATATATACGGGCCCGGTGGAGCTCTCAGGGGTCAGAGAAGGCAAGTGAGTAATTGTGTCTACATCAAGAATCACTGGAAGAAGATCACGTTGGCAGAGCTCCACCGCTGTACGGCCGCCGCCGTCGCTGGAGGAACGTTGGAGCCATGGAGCAATTGGGTAAGGGGCAACAATCTCTGAGGACATTCGACGTCCTTCAACTTCTCTACAACCTGGCATATTACTAGTTTTCTCTCCCTTTCCTCCCTCCCTCTCTCTATCTCTCCCTCCTACCTCGCTCTCCTCCCCCACATCCTCTTCACCGCCCCTCTCCCTTACTCTCGTCTCTCTCTATCCCTTTAACTAAGGTAATAAAGGATGCACTGAGATTGAACGGAATTTTTCACTTCCTCTTCCTTCTCCTCACTAACTACTCGTATAATTCACCGCAGTACTCCAAGTGACGCGGCTCCCTAGCAATACGCTGAGGTCAGTCAGGTTCCGAAAGTGTCATCACCTGTGGCTGAAAGAGATTGCGCATGGATTGAATTGCTTCGATGAAGGTTCTTTGAAAGGAGATAACTTACTCTCTTCCGCGAAAAATCGAATACAATGTGTTGCAATGTGAAACGTTTACGAATAATTCTGTGATAAATTGAAATATAACTTATAGCTTTCATATTCTGCAAGAAAAAATTCAGAAAAAAAACAAAACAAATAAACATTTACATTGTAATTTCATGTTTTCATGTTAGATTGCCTTTTGAACAAAAGATCCACATATAAAAAGGAAAAGACACGATATATAATTTTAAGATCATTTTTGTAAATATTGGGCTTAATTTTGAAGTCATATCTAGGCCAATTGCTGAGAGTATAATAATTGTGAATGTTAACAATCAAAAATCATCTCACTGTTCGCTCACTCAATTTCTATTTTCAATACACCTATTAGAATGATGAATGTTCTTTTATTTCTTATATATAGTGCAAATGAATGCGGAATAAAGTGAACAAAATATCGATGTATGAAGAATAGAGCAAGAAAAAGAAACAAGACCCTTTTTCGGTATCAAGGACTCATAATGTTTTCTACGAGACACTCAGCACTTTTTTCCGAAGCACAACGTAACACTTCTTGTTATATTATGGTAAGAAAAAATTACAAGAACATTAAAACGTTTACTTTAGAGACAATCGATACGAACATATAAATAATAAACGAATACTCAGAAACATTTTTCTGAACAGAATACACTAAATTAATAGAAAACTGGACAAAAGTCACTCATAAGTCATAATTAAAACTAGAGTAGATTCGAGAAAAATATCAATTTTACAAAAGAGTTAAAAGGAAGAGAAGCTGAACTAGGTGTGGAGCCGAGCGCTGACCTCGATGTCCTCCTTGTTCTGCAGCAGCGGCGCCTCCAGGATGTTCTTGAGGCAGAAGCCCTCGGCCTCC